CCTATAAGTTAATGTGATGCCTAATACACCACACAGCACTTGGCTCTATTAAACTTGACTTTTGTCACAAACAATGTCAGTACATTAAATTACTAAGACTTCAAAATGAATTCTCAATTTAAACTACTTGAACTTTTGAAACTGGCATCTGCACCATAGATTCAATCAATCTGTTTACAGATTTAACTTTCCTTCCAACTCTCGTTCTAACAGGCTTGACAAGATCAGCATTTTCAGCACCTCTCAACGATGGATCACTGCACAGTAAGTCAGGAGAGCCAGGTAAGTATTGTGCAATTTCATTTGAATCTTGTTCATGTTTCTCATTTGTAGGCAACTCATTGGCAGCACCAGGAGATTGATGGATATCTGCATCCACTGTGTCTACCTCATCCAAATCATGAGAGTTTTCTAAATCTACAGGTAAAGTCACAGGAACCACAGGGTTGCGGTCTGATTCAAAAACAGGAAGTGGGTAAGGATAGTCAGAGGAAGATTGACTTGAGCTCTCAGTGAACGAAACAGCAGACAAGTCTTCGCTTGAGTCCTGATCTGCTCCATTCTGATCAGACTTCACAATGATCAGTGGCTGATTATTTTCACTGGTACTTTGCTCTTTATCAATTCCAACAATTGGCAAGAAATTCACTTCCAGTAAAAGATTCCTATGCACAACTTTAGTGCGGCCTGATGCATCCCTTATCCTATAAACATGAATGTCAGGATTCACTTCAACAACAGTAAACACTCCGTCTTCCCATTTGTCGGCCAACTTCCTTTTGCCTCTTTCTGATTTATTAGTCACCAATACTCTATCCCCCACCGACAAGTGAGTTCCTTTAACACGCTTGTTGTACTGATTAGCCTGATGTCTTTGCTCGACAGAGGAATGCTTTTGAGCGATATCCATAGCATTTTTCAAGCAGCACAGTAAAGACTTGACATAAGAGTCGTAATCAGCAATGTCGGGGTTATCGAGTACTTGATTGAACATGATGTCAACCGGAAGTCTGGGTATGCGGCCAAACATCAAAAAGAAAGGTGCATAACCTGTAGTTTCGTGAATAGTTGCATTGTAAGCAAATGTGAGAGTTTGGATCTGTTGTGGCCATTGACATTTCTTTTTTAAAGGGAGCGATCGAAGCAATTTACCCAAGGTTCTGTTGAAGCGCTCCGTACCACCATTGCCCATTGGGTGGTAAGCTGTTGTGTGAGATTTTGCGACACTAGCTAGACGAAGAAGCTCTGCTATGAGGTTACTCTCAAAATTTGTGCCCTGGTCAGAGTGTATGCGTTCTGGAAACCCGTAGATACAAAACACATTGTCCCAAAGCTTTTTTGCAACTTGCTTTGCTGTTTGATTAGCGCAAGGGAATGCATGAGCAAGCTTGGTGAAGTGGTCAGTAACTACGAGGACATCCACCGAACATTGTTTGCTATTTTCTGCTGACCAAAAATCTATGCACACCAACTCCATCGGGGCTGTGCTCTTGATATTCTCCAAAGGGGCACGAGCAGCAGGTTCTGGTGACTTTGCAAGGACACACCTTCGACAGCATTGAACATATTCTCTGATATTCTTTTCCATATCAGGCCAATAAAAGCGTTGTCTTGCAAGTGAAATAGTACGGTCCTGCCCTTGATGGCCTGCGAGATCATGGATACCAGACAGAGCTTTGTTCCTCAGACTATCAGGCAGTACATACTGTAATCTTTTCCTTTTAGTCAAAGGGTCTTTCGTCACTCTATATAACACATCATCTCTAACTTCCAACTTACTCCACTGCTTCAACAGTCTTATTACTTGAGCACTTGCACCATGCCTTTCTCTTCTTGATGGACGTCTCTGTCTAATCAAGAATGACAACACCTTGGATATAGTCAGATCTTCCTGTTGACTGTTTTTGAGCTCCTGGGCAGAGAGCACTGGTAAAGTCTCCTGACAACCCGATATCATCTCAACATGATGGACTAAATGAAGGGCTCTTGACTCTGCTCCGTCTGTCCAACTGCAGTGTGACTGACAAAGAGCTTTGACTTAATCCACGTTGTAGTCAACACTTTACGAAAGACACTCCATGGGCTGATTTGGCTGAATATGGCTACTGACCCTGAAAACATCGTGAACGGAATCTTCGCCTATCCCACTGGCCTCCTGCATCAAGTAAGAATACAGCTCATTCAACAGTCTCCGTTCAATTGGCTCAACAAAAGGGTCGCGACTCAAGGTGTCCGCCACAACATTAGCTTTTCCGGGCAAATGTTTCAGGTCAAAAGTGTATGCCGCCAGTTTGGAAACCCATCTCAACTCATAAGCATCAAGTTTTGGCTTAGTCAGAATATATGTGAGAGGGTTATTATCCATCCAGATGGTAAATTTGTGGCCTTTCAGCCAATGGCTGAACTTCTCACATACACTCCACTTTAGAGCCATAAATTCTAGTCTATGAGCAGGATATCTGCGCTGCGATGTACTGAGGGTCTTGCTTGCAAAAGCAATGGGTCTGGCTTGTAGTTCACCTTTTGGCACTTGGGACAATACAGCCCCTAGCCCGTCCAATGAAGCATCAACAGAAAGAATGAAGGGCTCATTGAAGTCAGGATGTGCAAGCATGACACACTCCAGTAAAGCAGTATTAAGTTTGCCAAAAGCGACATGACATTCTGTAGTCCAATCTGCAGAGGTAAGTTTACAGTAAGTGCCTTGAAACTTCCTTTCCTTAGACAATTTTCCTCTTCTTTTCTGTCCAGCTGTAAGGCCGAAAAGAGGTTTAGAGATAGATGAGCAGTTTGGAATAAAGTGTTGGTAATAAAATACCATGCCAAGAAAAGACTTAATCCTTTTGACAGTTGGTGTGCAGCCATCATTATCCATCAGATCATGAGCAGTCATCCTTGTGATGACCTCCACTTTTGCTGGATCAACTGACACACCTCCACTGTCAATGATATGGCCAAGGAATCTTACTTGACTTTGAAGTAGATGACATTTTTTAGGTGAAAGTTTCAGATTGTTCTCCCTCAGTCTATCAAACACTGTACGCAGCCTGGACAGAGCCTCACTTTCAGATGGTGCGAAAACAAGGAGATCATCAAGGTAACATAGAAGCTTTGAAAAGTTCAAGTCTCCGAAGATCCCAAGCATCATTCTCATGAAGGAGGCTGGACTATTACAAAGCCCCTTAGGCATTCGATTATATTCATGAAGGCCTAGCGGTGTAGTAAAAGCCATATATTTTTTGCCCTCCTCACTCATTGGAATATTATAAAACCCTGACGTGAGGTCCATAGTGCTGAAGAAGCAGTTTCCTCCAAGCGCAGCCAGGCAGTCAGCCTGGTGAGGCAAGGGGTGTGCGTCTTTCATAGTTCTGGCATTTAACCACCTGAAGTCTGTGCAAATACGCAATCCACCATCCTTTTTCCACACCATCACTAATGGTGATGCGAACTCACTTGAAGACTTCCTGATGATACCTTTTTCTTCCATGTCAGTGAGAACTTGCCTAAATTTTTCATAGTGGGCAGGAGGTACTCGCCTATAAGGCAATCGAAAGGGTCGATTATCCGTCAGTCGTATTCGGTGCACATATCCAGTGGCTTCACCACAGTCCAATGGATGCTTGGAGAAGATGTCTTGGTAATCAGCTAGTAACTGGGTAAGTTGAGATTTACAATCATCACTTATCTGACTCCAGTTGACGTCAATTTCCTCAAGACCCAGGTTCAGTAGATTTTTGTCAATGTGGTCAGCTGCACAGAAATTACATGAATCATCTGACTTGTTTTCCACTAGAGTAATGTGCAGTCCCTGAAAAATCTCAAAATCTTCAGATGCAATACACGGAAACACATCAGCCATTTTGCTGTTCCTCTTCAATGTGATCACTTTATTTGTCGGATTCATAACTGTCATAGGCACCCACCTGTCACCCCAAAGTGGTACAACAAGACGACCAACTAGAATGTCGAGGCATAGCTTTTGAATTGGTCGGCTCAACGATCACTGTGCTGCCTGGCGACATGGGCACATTAGATGGCAAACGGCCCCAGACCAAATGTTCATGCTTTGGTAAAAGTACCACCGCTTGAGTGAGTTTGACAGTGCCTATTTTGTCAGGAACAGTGTCTCCTTTCCAACGCTCAACACCCGTAAACATTGACAAGAACTGCTGAACGTCTTCATCAAACTTATTGTCAGGTCTAGAAGCAATGTCCCAATAATCATTGTTGTTCTTCAGCTCATGAATTAAGTGTTTAATGATATTAGAGCCCAGAATAAGATCATCACGCTGGCCAGGCACGACCAAGCAAGGTGCAACACACCGAGTGTCAAAGAACTTTATCTCCAAATCATAGAAACCATCAGGCTGGGTTTGCTGACCTCCACAGCCGATCAAGACAATCTTTTCTTCTGAATGCTTTTTTTCAGGCAAAATGCCTGCAGAACCAATTTTCTCCACAGCATGTTTACTGATTGTGCATGCCATAGAACCGGAATCAATCATTCCGTTAAGAATAACATGGCCATTGACACGAACAGGAACATAGAAAAGGCTACTGAAGGCTTCGACTTTCTGACTAGATTGTACAACTATCTTGGTCCCTCTAGGAGCACTATTACAGTTTTTCTCATAGAGCTGGGCAAGATCGCATTCTTCATGAAGGTATTTAGTATCCATACCCACATCACCCCTTCCAAAATGCGGGTTCAATAGTTTAACTAGTTAGGTGGTCTGCCAGCCCCACTTTCCAATTGATGCTGGTTACGATCAGCTCGCTGAGGGCAGTCCTTTTTCCAGTGTCCAGGAGTTAAACACTTCAGACATCTGTTATCCTGTCTACAATGTGACACAGTTGAATGATCCAAAGATCTACAAACCCTGCATGGTTTGCGGTAAGTCTGAAATGTTGTAGCTTGATGATGTGGGCTAACTTGGAATTGGGTCAGTTGAGTGACAAGACGGTCCTAAAGACTCACTAGACTTTTCATGCAAGCACTGTCACTGCCAGACTGCACCATAGGAGAAGGTGGAATAGACAAAGGAGAGTTACGCCTGTTTCACACCGCAAGCGTCAGCGGCGCGTGAGCAGAGCGTGAGCAGCGCGTGTGTTTTCGGCGTCCATGTTAACAGATTAGAGCTTTCATATCGCACGCAGCAGCAGCGCGTCAGAGCGAGGCCTGAGCGTCGCCGAAGCAGCAGTGCAGCGATAGTTTCGGCGCTGGGTCTATTTTTGACGCGCTGCTCACGCTCAATTAAAGTGACAGTGCATTGATAATGACCAAAACACAATGAATGACAGTAAAAAGTAGCAATTTTACCCAATAAATACGTTGATAACGTCAAATGGTATACATATATTCATTCAAATGAACTTAAAACGATTAAAAACGGCAACATTTATTTAGGCCCGAACTACAAAACCAAATGTAAAACAATTTTAGTATCAGTTTTGCTTAAGTTGCACACTAGTGTTGTAGGAGAGGGGAAATAGAATATTTACGGGATTTGTAGTCCATAGCGAAGTGTATTGTGGGTAGTGTAGTTCGACACGCATACTGGATTATGTGAGCTCGCTGTGTGCTGTGCAGCTGAGCAGAGGAAGAAAGTTTTAATCGGCTTTGTTTTATGTTCACTCGAGTTATTCCTACCGGGAGCTGTTTGCACTGTGAATCTGACAACACGAAAATAAGTAAAAGAATGGCATGTATTGGTTACTTTTGTCCGTCTCATCATCTGCACGAGCATGAATTAACGAGCTGTTATTCTGCCGCTGGACAGATGAAAAGTTTAAAAGGTGTATTTGTATAGAGAGACATGGGTAACTAGATAGAATAGACAGAGATAGGTTGATCTCTGCAGCAGCTGCCGAAGAACTGCGCGCTGCAGACGCAGCTGGTGTGAAAGGCAAACGCCTGCGTGCTGCTACTGCTCGACATACGCGCTGCTCACACTCTGCTCACGCGCCGCTGACGCTTGCGGTGTGAAACAGGCGTTAGAAGCAACTGTCTCAACAACATCAGGACTCTGAGTGCAAGCTCTATGTTCAGTTATATTCAAACTGCGTAAATTACTGAAGGTCCTAGCTTTCCTCTCTTGCATATGTTCATCAAGTCTCTCCTGTATCTCACCAGCTGACCATTTCTCTGCTGATTTGAATTTGAAGACATTAGAAAGAGACTTATCTGGGCAATGCTGGATAAGCATCATGCTGATTTCATGACTTGGATCACAAACGAGCCGACCTCGTCTTTCCAGGCATTCCTTGGCAACATCCATTGTCTTGTTCAGCCGGATCCAATACTCCATTGCATCTTTAGATGGCATCGGTAAAGTATTGTAAAAATCGGCTAGGGGCATACTAGAATAGGAGATGGTGCTGAAATGCTGTTTTAAAATGTCAAAGATCAAGCGAGGTTTACTGGTGCAGTCAGCAGATGTGTTATTACGCAATTTAATTTTCACTACATCACCTGCTTTCCCCATTAGCCTATCCAATATTTCTTGTGACTGCTCATCAATCAGAATAGCACGTTTTCTCAGATACAGGGACATAATATTTTCCCACTCTTGTACAGTTAGTTTATCTGAACCATCGCCCCTAAATATTGGTGACTCTTTTACATCTGACTGCATCACTAGTTTGACATTAGACAGCGTCATCTCAGCTGGCTGTTCAGAATTACTACGGTTTGTACTGTTATCAGAACGTAGCTGAGCAGTAATAGACTGTCCTAATTTTTTAGCTATTTCACTGATGAGTGAACTCAAATCTGGATTTTGGTTAATCGGAGATGGCATGGCACGATCAACATATCTTGTAGAAGTCAAAACAGGTGTATCAAATGCTCTGCTAGTAGGCCCTGGCATCCTAGGTTTAGAAGGTATTCTGAAAAATCCCTTCCCCTACCAAACTGGATACTTTGGTCAAACACCTCATTGTCCTTCATCTCTTCAGCAAAGCTATTAACGCCTTCTGCCATATTGCTGTATTGTACCAATTAATTATCTTCAAATTTAAATCAATAAATGAACTGAAATATTGTACTGAACAAAGGCAATCAATAACAGTAACCAGTCAGCAAATGTATATTTCAAGAGTCTGAATTCAGTTCGAAAATGTCTTCTGTGAGAGAAAAAAAATGTATATAGTCCACCTCACTTTATATAAAATAGTCCTTTTGTCTTTGAAAAGTACCTAAAACCAGTCCATGCAGCTTCCACGGCGAGCGAGCAGACGTCGGTCTTCAGATGGATCCTTAAAAGGTCACGGCACCATTGTAACGGGTCCCACACGAGTGGAATCCGTCCTGCGTTGTGTTGTTGTTTTTCAATAAAGGACTCCAAACCTCTTACCGCTTGGCACTGTCTTTATTTTCTGCACAAATGGAAAATGTGTTGAAAACATGCATTCTGTGATTGTGATCTTCATTAAACAACCGTTTAATGTCTCCATTAACCACGAGACAACCTTCTCTCAGCTCAGAAGGAAGTGAACTGCGATAGCGATTTCTTGAAAGAACGTGTATTAAACTAATCTGCTTAACATAAGACTAAATTAATATTAATGACATGAAATCACATAAACTACCAACAATACAAAAACATACCTGCACAAATGGAAAATGTGTTGAAAACATGCATTCTGTGATTGTGATCTTCATTAAACAACCTGTTGGCACACGAGCAGTAATTACAGCATGCTAATATGTGCTAATCTCACTCACAAATGCAAACGATCTCAATCACAACCATTTAGAACCACAGTTTCATATTTCCACATCACAGAGTATGTTTAGCGAAGCAACAAACATTTTAGATTTAAAATATACCATCAACCGTCAATAATATTACCGTTTAATGTCTCCATTAACCACGAGACAACCTTCTCTCAGCTTAGAAGGAAGTGAACTGAGAGAGCGATGAGCGCGCACACGAACGAGTATACACCTTAAAGTGACAGTACACTTGAACAGGTCCTGAAAGTCACATACAAGCATGAACTCAAAACGATAAAATAATATATATAATAATATTAAATGAAGTAAATTAAAGTTATACTCAATAGAAAAAAGGATTTTGAGTGAAAATAATATTACCAAAATAACTCTGTTACACAAGCATTGTATTCACCACACAGCACCGATTTCATTTGAGGATCACGTGACGCGAATGAGGAGGAGACACCAAGTGTGCCGCAAGCCTACGTTTGAGTGAAGGTTTCGGCCGTTAGATCGCCCCCTGNGGGCTGGCTGCAGTACAAGTCATAAAGCCCGCCTCCTCCGTGTTAATGAAGGAGACTTGAGCCCAAAATAAAAAAAATATTACACTTGCAATAAAATGTCCCCGAAAGATAGTTCTGGTCGATTAAGGCACTGGTTATTGTGCTGAAATAGGGGCAGATCTTCATTTTTGTAAACAGTTTGTTTTTTAGCAGTAATTTAATGCTGGGCGGGTCATCGTGATTGACAGCTGTGATTGAAGTTTCTCAAAGCGCGGCGTCTGAGCTTCGGCAGGAGACTGAAGTAGACTGAAAATGTTATTATTCGATTTCTGTGTTATTTTACCATGACAAAATGAGTTCAGCAGTAAACTATAGTTTCTGACATACATGATCCTGGTGGAACACTGTTTATTCGCTAAGTTCGGGGCTTTTTTCGGGCTTTATTAGTTTGCTGATACACGCCTAGCCACCCAGATAGCAAAACACAGTTCCGGCTAGATTCTCGCCTGCCGGAGACCGAGTCAATCGAGCCAGATGCGGCGGCCGAGCGAGCAGGCGCTGCCGCATGCGAGCCGGAATCAGCCCGCGACGCCGCAAGTAAGTTATGCGCTGCGGCCTGGAGCTGGCGCGATTGAATATATAAAACCCTCATATTTGTTAACGTTATTACATCCATTTGTGTTGATATGACAGCAAACGCATGCTGAGAAGTTCGGGGGGCGTAGTTGATTTTACATAAAGCGTTTGATTGGAAGCTCGACTCTGCTCATTTTCGCGGCTCCTCCTCTGGCTCCATCAGACAATCCTTCTGCGCATGTCTGGCTCCAATTTCAGCAGTCTTTTGCGACAGTTTGTGCCCGTCAAGCAGGCGTTTTGCCCTCAAGGCGTTCAATGGGAAAAGGGGCTGTCGCGTCGTCCATATTTTTTACAGTCATTGGGAGACACGGGAAAATCTCGTCTATGAACTCATAGTCTTTGTTTCTGATGTAACTAGTCAAGACTGTTTGAAAAACTTATTTTGTGCATTCCTCATGCTGGAATATACTTGCAGTGTATGAATTCCAAGAATGAAGGGCTTAACTATAGGGGCCTGAAGTGTTTATGGTAGGGATGGGAAGATTAACCGATATGTATCGATACGCGGTCATGCGCGTGCACGATGCGAGTGCATCGGTTGAGCAGCAGAGGATGAATGAAATTTTGGAAGCAAATCGAGATGCATCGGTTTTTGCGAGATGCATCGGTTTTTCCGAGGTACAGCTTATATTTTTAATATAGAATGTATTTTTTATTTATTAACAAGTGTTGTCAACCTGTTTTTGGCGCATAATTTAATCGACCTACATAAAGTAAGCCTTAGCAACGGATTTGCGGATGTGTACACTTACACTACAACTCAGTGTATCAGGTACACAATGTGAAAACGAAAGTGACCGGTTATGAAAATGAAGTGACGTGTCGCGGACCTCTATTCTGCCGCCCTATGCGCGGATATAACTGAGGACGCGCGGGTGTCGCGGACCTCTATTCTGCCGCCCTATGCGCGGATATAACTGAGATATAACTAAGGACGCGCGGGTGTCGCGGACCTCTATTCTGCCGCCCTATGCGCGGATATAACTGAGGACGCGCGGGTGTCGCGGACCTCTATTCTGCCGCCCTGCGCGGATATAACTGAGATATAACTAAGGACGCGCGGGTGTCGCGGACCTCTATTCTGCCGCCCTATGCGCGGATATAACTGAGGACGCGCGGGTGTCGCGGACCTCTATTCTGCCACCCTATGCGCGGATATAACTGGGTGTTGCGGACGCCGCCCTCTCTATACTGCCGCACTAGGCGGGTTTAAACACCTCCTCCTGTTAATTTTTATTTAATTATAATAATAATAATAATATTATTAATAATGATAATGATAAAAATAATGGGTGTCACGGTGGCACAGTGGGTAGTTTGACCACCTCACAGCAAGAAGATTGCTGGTTTGTTATATTTTTATTACCCTGTTGTTTACAGTGACAAAGATGTTTCAAAGCAGCATAACACTGCTAGTTCACGACCTTAAGTTTTGAATATTCAGTGGCAAAATATATCTTTGTAAAACTTGTTTTCATAGTTGAAAAGTTAAATCACAATTCTTGTTGTGCAATGCTCAACCTTTATGTTGAAAGAGTGCAAATATATATATTTTAATATAAATTGCACTTATACATTCTGTTTATCTTGAAAATACTTAAATAATATGTGCTATAGGTTCTAAAATGGCCCTCTACTGTAAACTGACACTCTGGCTCTGAGAGAAAAGCCAGTTTGTAAAAAAAGCCTTGGTTTTGCTTGGTTAATAAATAATCAAACTCATTCATGGCACAGCATCCTCTTTTACATAATCTCATAAACTTGATTTAATTAGTTAGTGCTGAATTATCGCATTGTATCGTGATATGGGTGTGAATCGTATCGTGTTGCATCGCAATATGTCACAAATGTATCGCTAATATATCGGATCGTATTCTTTGTATCGAGATGCGTATCGGATCGGCATTATAGCTTAGATGCCCAACCCTAGTTTATGGAGGTATGTGAAAGTTGCGTTCATTCGCCATCTGCTGGTCGACTTGAAAATTGTACAATGTTTAATGAAAAGCTGAGTTGGTAAACCTTTTAAACGTTAATTTAATTGGCAAAATATTATTTTTTCATGATATAACTTGTCAAAAAAAATTCTATTTTAATTTCTCATATTATTGCATGATTAGCAATGTCGCCTCACCGCAAGAAGGTCACTGGTTCGAGTCCTGGCTAGGCCAGTTAACATTTTTGTCTGGAGTGTGCATGTTTTCCCCGTGTTGGCGTGGGTTTCCTCCGGGTGCTCCGGTTTCACCCACAGTCCAAAGATGCGCTATAGGTAAACTGGATGATCTAAATTGACCATAGTATGTGTGTGAATGAGTGTGTATGGGCGTTTCCCAGTACTGGGATGCTGCTGGAAGGGCATCCACTGTGTGAAACATATGCTGCAATAGTTTGCGGCTCATTCCGCTGTGGTGACCCCTGATAAACTAACCTAGTTAGCAAATAATTCTGGCCCAGATTTGGCACAAAGCCAGCACAGGAGGCAATCCTGCAGTGGCATACAGCATGTGGACCAAACATGGCCTGGTTTTGGCAGAGGGGGCACCATCTTTATAGTGGCACACAATATTTGGGCCAGATGTAAAATGTAGTATGTGGTTCAGATGTAAAAAAAAATTGATATGTAGGCCACATCTTGACCCACATTTAATAATAATAATAATTCCTTACATTTATTTTAACGCTTTTCTGGACACTCAAAACACTTTACACATTTTTGGGGGGAATCTCCTTATCCACCACCAGTGTGAAGCATCCACCTGGATGACGCGATGGCACCCATATTACGCCAGAGGAGAGGAGACAGAGTGATGAAGCCAGTTATGATAAGGGGATGGACAGGAGGCCATGATGGACAGAGGCCAGCGAGCAGATTTGGCCAGGATGCCAGGGTTAAACCCCATACTCCTTTCCAAAGGACATCCTGCGATTTTTAAAGACCACAGAGAGTCAGGACCTCAGTTTAACATCTCATCTGAAATATGGCGCTCACTGAGCACTATAGAGTCTTCATCACTATACTGGGGCATTATTACCATAGACTGTAAAATATATGGACGTAGTATCCGTGACGTCACCCATAGGTTTCTGAAGAGCGCAAAAGAAGCCACAAGTAGACGCGGCCAACCGTCGCCATTTTGTTCATGCGTCATCACACCCACGGCGGGATACCAAACAAGGGCAAAGAGGCGGAGAGTGGGCGGAGCTACAGACACCTGCTAGCATTTAGCTTGGACCTGGTTCAGACACACTTTACTTTGGGAGAACGCTTAATACTTTATCACCTGTGACTCGTTTTTATTCTGACCACTTGTGCTTGGTTGTACACTATATCAATAAAGTGTTTAGACTTTTAAAAACACTGCTGTAATACACTGAGCCACTAAACATTGTTCTTATGACGTTTTTCAACAGGAGGAAAACGCGAATTACTTCCAAACACTTCAGATATAGTCTGTGTTAGTTAACGTAAGACTATTGATAAAATCCAGCATAACACTGTATGACAACGCTTCAGATGACTGATCTAGAGCCTACAGCTAATCAATCTGACAGATTCTGGAGTGCATTACAGCTCTAAATATAAATATAAACGATAAATGATCTTAAATAAAACAAATACATGTATAGAGATGGTATATAAGTATATAACTTTACTCACATGGGAAACGGAGGCCACGTGAATGGTTTGTGAGCACAATTAAGTCCACTCAGCATGCCATGCCATCTAATAATTGTGGGAAACAAGTCCAAAAGGCAGTTGACTGTGTAAAGCCACATAAAACAACACAGAAATACGATAAATATGCCGAGATCAGTGGCTAATCTGCAGGATTCAGCTGAGGTGACGTAACGGCGACCAACGAGACCTAGCTGTCACTCAAGTGGCCACGCCCTTAATTATGCAAACTTAATATAACTTAATATAAATTAATATAAAGGAAACGGATGAGTTATAAAAAAATTCACCCCCTCACAGTTGTCATGAAGGGTAATATTAGCTGTATTAACCAAAATCTTTTTTTGTACCAGGCTGTAAACACCTTTTTTTCTGCTGTAAAGTTGGCCATTCTAACAGTGGGCTCAATTGAAATTTGCTCTGTTTTGGAGCCAGGAGCGGCCACGACTAGCGGAATTTCGGATGAATTGCAGTTTTAGTTACTTCCGTATTGGCTTCCTGAGGGAGAGCGGGAGGTTGCCGCTTGATTAGGACCCACACAGACCACAGGTCGGACGCCCGCCCCCTGCTGGCCTCACTAACACCACTTCCGGCAGCAACCTAGCTTTCCTATCCAGGTACTAACCGGGCACAATCCTGCTTAGCTTCAGCGGGCGACCATGTGAAAGTTGCAGAGAGCTAGCTGCCAGCAAAAATAATTTATTTTAATTACTTTAAATAAATTTAAAGTACATTCAAATAATTTTTGAGTAAAGAAAAAAATTCAACCAATCAGGTTGCTTTGAGGAAAAGCGCACCCATAGTGTGCTTAAAGCGCAATGCTTCAAGGGTTTATCAATTTCATTGCACTTATAACACACCAACCTATCTGGCCTAGTTCAGGCCCAGTTATGAGTTATTAACTGGCTGAGACTCGACTCAGATATGGCCCATGTTTGGCACTTGTCTGGAAGCCAGATTTGGTCCAGTCATGTACCGTAATTTACTGCGGCATGTGGGCCAAGCAAAACCTGATTGTGTGAGCCAGAGCTAGGCCAGAGAAATTTTGCTGTGTGGGAAGGGACTTCGCCAAAGGAAAATGAATGAATGAATAAATAGTATCCCTACTGAAAAATACAGCTTAAACCAGCCTAGGGCTGGTTGGCTGGTTTAAGCTGGATTTTTTAAAGGGGATAACATTTCGATATTAAACGTGAATAATATATATGTTTATTATAAATCAAATATGATCTACCAACATCAAATATGCAAACAGATATCACAGATTTTTTAAATTACTTTGTCTTCTTACTAACATATTAAAATATTAAATAGCTGATTAAATTACTTAGGCCCTATGTTTAAAATATTTTACATTATTATTGTAAAATGAGTTGCTTTCAGTGAGTTAATATATAGTTGTGAATGGAAAATAATAACCAGGAGGCATTATGCAACAATAATAGCACACTAAGCAGATCATTTCAATAGTTTATTTCTACCATACACAAACTGTACAACACAGCGCAGTACTGCTTATGAAATCTGTAAGGAAATCCTGATATACAAACTACTCCAACTGAAGAGAAATGAACAGTTTTAAAAACAAAAAACAAACTAAATCATTTACAGTACCGTGTATTATACTATGATTTTTTTCTTTTACACAAAAAAATTCATATCACATTACAAAACATCAAATACAAAAAGAAAAAATAAATAAATATTCCTCACAAAACTTCCTGAGCAAACAATCTGTGGTTTATAAATTAGAAATTAGGAGTTACAAATAATTTAAAACACAATTAATCATACAGTAATTTAGGAATAATTTAACACAACAGAAATCGATTCGGTTTTATTGAGAATACAATTCATTCTGCTCATTTGGTCGGATAATATCGCGTTTTATTCCCTCGGAATGACCTGTAAAATGCTGAGAGATCAAAAGAAACACTAAATAACAGAATAAAAAGTGCAAAAGGGTAGGTTTCGTGTTAGAGAAAGCTTTTAAAAGTGCCGTGCCTTCTATACCAGCACTCAGATCAGCGGAAATGACCTTGCTCCTGCAGGTAAACAACGCAAAAATCAAGTGGGACAGATTTAACGCGGTTGTTTCGCTGCAAATTTGTCCATTGATGAAGTACTTTAAGAAAATATCATCCACTGTTTGTCTCACGAAAGAAGCCAAGGAGTTCAGAAAATAATAAAAACCTCATTGTGCCTGATCGTAAAACACGTGTTACAAGAATATCCTTACATACGGTAGTACTTAAAATGGCGTACAAACAGTCGGTAAACAGAGTTCGGAGGCTTTTCATTCGGAAAATAAATATACTGCAGAGTAAAATGAATCACCATTCACGTAATACTGCTCTACCACAAAACATATTCATATTCCATGTACTCATTTACATTTAGGCACATATATGCACACATGGTGCACACCAAAGGCAGTTCATATGAACAGAAACGCAAATATGTGTGTGTTTGTTTGTGTGTGTGTGCTTGATTTTTGCTCACTATACAGTCTTTCAACGAGCTAATCACATAAAATATTTTCTTTTAGCTCACTTATTTAGATTTATGCATGACAATCAGTGGCGAGTGATTAAAAATAAAATAAGAGTGTTGCAATAACAACTGCTCACCGACAGGTGGCACAAGTGGACTATTCTTACATTTGACATCAGTTATTAATAATAATAATAATTTAAAAAAATCCTCACAAATGCCGGTGATATATTCTGAACCATTCAAAACTCCTAGTTATTGTACAACGAATGCAAATAAATTAAAATCACAATATGTAAGATTGGCCTTGCATTTTGAAGTTGCAGCAAAAAAAAAAATGAATTAAATAAATAAATAAACCAATTGTGATAGTAATAAATAAATAAATAATATTAAAGTGAGATAAATAGTAAAGGTAATAATAATATGTAGCGATAATATAACACACAAAAGAACGATACAGAAGTCAAGCAACCCATAGGAAATAAATAAGTGCAAAAGGAGGTACTAAAAGGAACATTGAGCTGTAAAAATTGTGGCTGGTATTTTTTTTTTTCAGTGCAATGCGTTTTTGTTTTTGTTGGAATGGAGTATTCGTGTTGTTTCTTGCACAGACGCCGCAGCTCTTATACGTGGATGCCCTTGATGGCCTGCCGGATGCTGTCCAGTAAGGCTTTGCATTCAGGTGAATACTCCTGCTCCGAGCTGTTGTACATATCCGTCAGCGTGTTCACGTACGCTTCAAAGTTCTGCTCGTTGATCGGGCCCTGGACACATTTCAGAGCATTCGCTTCATTAACAGCAAATCAGACATGCACTATTGGATTAATAATAATAACAACAAAAATAACTATTATCAGATTAAATGAGCGTCCTTCAGAGAGCAGGATTCATCTGGCAGTTATGAATTAAGAAACAATGACAGAAATTAAATCAAAATAATAGAATAAAATCAGCCTTTTAAATATTCGGTTTGCTTATTTCAAATAATCTGTGGCGCAGTAAGTAGTGCTGTCGCCTCACAGCAAGAACGTCGCTGTTTCGAGCCTCGGCTGGGTCAGTTGGCGTTTCTGTGTGGAGTTTGCATGTTCTCCCAGCGTAAAAACTCTATAAAAAATAAACTCTGTCTGTCTATATATCTATATAATCTATATCTGTTACCTATATAAACTCTGTCTGTCTGTCTGTCTGTCTATCTATCTATCTATCTAATCTATATCTGTTACCTATATAAACTGTCTGTCTGTCTGTCTTTCTATCTGTCTGTCTATCTAATCTAAATCTGTTACCTATATAAACCCTGCTGTCTGTCTATAAATCCATATAATCTATATACTGTAATTTATATCTGTTACCTATATAAACTCTGTCTGTCTGTCTGTCTGTCTAATCTATATCTGTTACCAATATAAACTGTCAGTCTGTCTGTCTGTCTGTCTATCTATCTATCTATCTATCTATCTATCTATCTATCTATCTATCTATCTATCTATCTATCTATCTATCTATCTATCTATCTATCTATCTATCTATCTATCTATCTATCTATCTATCTATCTATCTATCTATCTATCTATCTATCTATCTATCTATCTATCTATCTATCTATCTATCTATCTATCTATCTATCTATCTATCTATCTATCTAATCTATATCTGTTACCTATATAAACTGTCTGTCTGTCTGTCTTTCTGTCTGTCTGTCTATCTAATCTATATCTTTTACCTATATAAACCCTGCTGTCTGTCTATATATCTATATAATCTATATCTGTTACCTATATAAACTCTGTCTGTCTGTCTATCTAATCTATATCTGTTACCTATATAAACTGTGTCTGTCTGTTTGTCTGTCTGTCTGTCTGTCTATCTATCTAATCTATATCTTTTACCTATATAAACCCTGCTGTCTGTCTATATATCTATATAATCTATATCTGTTACCTATATAAACTCTGTCTGTCTGTCTGTCTGTCTAATCTATATCTGTTACCAATATAAACTGTCAGTCTGTCTGTCTGTCTGTCTGTCTGTCTATCTATCTATCTATCTATCTATCTATCTATCTATCTATCTATCTATCTATCTATCTATCTATCTATCTATCTATCTATCTATCTATCTATCTATCTATCTATCTAATCTATATCTGTTACCTATATAAACTGTCTGTCTGTCTGTCTTTCTGTCTGTCTGTCTATCTAATCTATATCTTTTACCTATATAAACCCTGCTGTCTGTCTATATATCTATATAATCTATATCTGTTACCTATATAAACTCTGTCTGTCTGTCTATCTAATCTATATCTGTTACCTATATAAACTGTGTCTGTCTGTTTGTCTGTCTGTCTGTCTGTCTGTCTATCTATCTAATCTATATCTTTTACCTATATAAACCCTGCTGTCTGTCTATATATCTATATAATCTATATCTGTTACCTATATAAACTCTGTCTGTCTGTCTGTCTATATAATCTATATCTGTTACCTAAATAAACTCTGTCTGTCTGTCTGTCTGTCTGTCTATCTAATCTATATCTGTTACCTATATAAACTGTGTCTGTCTGTCTGTCTGTCTGTCTGTCTGTCTGTCTGTCTGTCTATCTAATCTATATCTGTTACCTATATAAACTGTGTCTGTCTGTCTGTCTGTCTGTCTGTCTGTCTATCTAATCTATATCTGTTACCTATATAAACCCTGCTGTCTGTCTGTTTGTCTGTCTGTCTGTCTGTCTATCTAATCTATATCTTTTACCTATATAAACCCTGCTGTCTGTCTATATATCTATATAATCTATATAATCTATATCTGTTACCTATATAAACTCTGTCTGTCTGTCTGTCTGTCTGTCTGTCTGTCTGTCTATCTATCTATCTATCTATCTATCTATCTATCTATCTATCTATCTATCTATCTATCTATCTATCTATCTATCTATCTATCTATCTATCTATCTATCTAATCTATATCTATTACCTATATAAACTGTCTTGTCTGTCTATATATCTATATAAGCTATATCTGTTACCTATTTAAACTCCATCCATCCATCCATCCATCCATCCATCCATCCATCCATCCATCCATCCATCCATCCATCCATCCATCCATCCATCCATCCATCCATCCATCCATCCATCCATCCATCCATCCATCTATCTATCTATCTATCTATCTATCTATCTATCTATCTATCTATCTATCTATATCTATCTATCTGTTGGTACCCTTCCATTGAAGAAAGTAAAACTATAGTGGTCACTGAATTAACTTTAACCTGGAAAATGTAATAATAATTAAAACAATTGAAAATAAATCAGATATTGCGTTCAAATTGTGGGTCAAAGCAAGCATTAAAAAAGACAAACTAATGCAAGTGGCCTGGACAAAATTGAACAAAAATTGGGTACAAACAGTTTTGTCCACATCTGTATATTGACTTTATTTTTGACGTATACGAGCGGATGCCGCCATTGGAATCTTTTTGTTTCTAGACTTCCAGTCTCATTCATTCTATTGATTTTTAGATATTAAAAACAGCTTGTTATGCTGCTTGATGTTGCAAACTCATACTTTATTTATATTATTCCAGCAAGTAGTTTGACCGTTTCTGCTGTTTATTATCCCATAGGAAACTGAATCAGAAGTTCTAAAACAATCACAAAAACGAGAGCACTTCCGTATTGCAGAATAAGGTCAATACTGCTGCTTTCAGATGATTTGAAGTAAAAATCATCTGCTAAAATAGTAAATGTAAATGCGTGTGTGTGTGTCTCACCATTTGCGGTAGCTGTATGTCTGTCAGACTGTTGATGAGTGCCTGACTGAGCCTGGCTAACTCCTTCAACAGACTGTCATTGTGCTGCTCGATGATTTTATTCTCCTCCTCGATCGTCTTCAGGTTGCACTCCATGGAGGAGATCTGTTTCAAAAACAACGTCTTCAGCTCTCAAACTACATTACCCACAACTTGCGGTGCGCAAATTTAAAAAAGCAGGATGTGATGTTGTTTACCTGAGTCTGGAGCTGCATCATGTCTGCTTCGATCTTCAGATTGGACTCGTTCAGCTCTTTTATTTCGTGATCCAAGTGCTGCATGTCCTCACTGTTTTCAACACCTGATTTATAAAGACAAACCAGGATCATTGCTAATCCACACTTTAATACAACGAGTTAAAGTCAGTGTGAATTCACAATGTCAATTCTGTTAATCCAGTTAAAATGTTTGCTTTTGTAATCTTTAACATGGTATATACAGGAATCAGTGAATGAAATTCAGTACCTTTTATGACCTTTTTTAAGAATCTTTCCATACATTTTAAAACTATCACCACTTTAGGTTTCAACCGGTAACATGGGCGACCTTTTAACTTGCAGTATTTTGACTAAATATTGGTTGAAAGAAACTAATCCTTAAATAAAACATTCATATACTGAATACAAATGCTTCTCCAGCAGGGGGCGCCTATAGAACAGCAGCGCCCACAGTTGTAACAGTAAACAAAGCAACGTGTGACATCAAATCTAGCAGGATTTTATCAATTTCATAAACTGCACAGCATCCCAATATTGGCAGATTAAATTCTGGCAAACTTTACTATACAACAGTACATTGTATAATCAAATTTCAATTGATTGTAAAATAGGATTTAAGACTTAATACTTTTTAAGGGCCTTAAAATTCTCTAAATTGATTGATCAACTTTTAATACTTACTACTAGTAACACCCTGCAGACACCCTGTTTAATCAAAGTCTGAGCACTTGTTTCTGCGTTTGTGATAGTAATAAATAAATTCAGTGTCTGTCCTTCTCTGTAAAAGATTAGAGTTAGAATATTTCTAGCCACGCCCCTCTTACCTGTTAGTTTTCTATGAGGGAATGATGTGCAAAAAGAAAGCCCCGCCTCCCACTCAACACTCAGATTCTACATACTGAAATGAACGTCTCCACAACTTTCGGTTCACGCAGACTTTAAAGGGGACCTATTACGCCACTTTTTACAAGTTACAAAATAAGTCTCTGGTGTCTGTAGAGTGAGTATGTGAAGTTTCAAAGTGAGAAATACCACAGAAATAATGTTTTATAACTGTTTGAAACTGACCCTCTTAAGCTTTGAACCTAGATTTAGCGTTTTGGTGACAGTTGCTTTAAATTCAAATGAGATTGTGCTCTTTTTAGATGAGGGAGGAGCTATAAATGCCTGTGTTTCAGCATAGTGGCAGATTAAAAAAACAAGACTTACATCCTATGCTAATGAGGGAGAAATGGTCACTAATGACCACGGCTTTCACACTTTGATGACACATAAAAAGGGAGAATGTCAATCAAAGTGTTTCTGCAGACCCTTTTTATCAAGTGTGATTAAAAAAAAAAAAAAAAATATATATATATATATATATATATATATATATATATATATATATATATATATATATATATATATATATATATATATATATATATATATATATATATATATATATATATATATATATATATATATATATATATATATATATATATATATATATATATATATATATATATATATATATATATATATATATATATATATATATATATATATATATATATATATATATATATATATATATATATATATATATATATATATATATATATATATATATATATATATATATATATATATATATATATATATATATATATATATATATATATATATATATATATATATATATATATATATATATATATATATATATATATATATATATATATATATATATATATATATATATATATATATATATATATATATATATATATATATATATATATATATATATATATATATATATATATATATATATATATATATATATATATATATATATATATATATATATATATATATATATATATATATATATATATATATATATATATATATATATATATATATATATATATATATATATATATATATATATATATATATATATATATATATATATATATATATATATATATATATATATATATATATATATATATATATATATATATATATATATATATATATATATATATATATATATATATATATATATATATATATATATATATATATATATATATATATATATATATATATATATATATATATATATATAT